AGATCATGATCATGAGCGGGATCCTGACATCTTATTGAAAAATGGGGTTGATTTATATAGCACATAGTCTTAGCTATAGCATACTAAAAAATCAACAAATCCAAGCAGAAATAACGGCGATATTGCTCGCAAAAGACAGGAATGTAGAATCCAGATTTTAGAAAAAATTATCTCCCACAGGGTTACACGCAAAAAGTAATGGATTAAGTGGAAATAGGGAAACACTAAAGTAAACAGGGTTGTTTATTACATTATTTGCGATTCTACTTGTTTAAATAATCAAAGAGATGGTACAGTGAAAGGTCAAAAAAGGAAAAAAAAAGTGGAGAAAAATTGTTGGAGACACCCGGACTCGAACCCGGGATCTCAAGTCGGAAGTCAAGTGCGTTTACCGATTTACCACCCATTTCCCATATCGATTACACGTAAACGAAATGGGAAATTCTAAAATCCCATTTTGCAAGTAATATGAGCATGATCCCGGCATTATGATCGAAAAATGAAGTACACATTGGAGATAGCTCATTGTCTCAGCTACAACATATCCAAAGCTCACCGAAAACAAGTTAAAAAAACGGAGATGTTGCTCGCGAAAGACGGAAATGTAGAATGCAGTTTTGAGAGATAGTCATGTCCCATAGACAATACACCAAATGTGAAAATTTACATGCCTCCTTTAATCGCAAAATACGCCATGATACCTTTGTCAAACTGGACAATTATGTACACGCATTTGTAGAAAATTGTCTCAGCTAGAACATATCACAATTTGGAAGAAAAAAAATTCAATATTTACAGAGATACAATCAATTTTCCAAAAATATGCAAACGTCATAATGCAAATTTAAATTTCGAGTTCGGAGGCCATTATGATGACATTATGAGTTAATTGGAGTTAAATGAGACATGAAATCATATTTCCATTTCATAATCTATCCAATATATGAAACATATTGGGAGTTTTCTATCTATTCTGAAGAGTTACAATGAATTTTGTATAGGCATTGTTTTGCCCATGTATTGTGGATAAAGATCACGCAAATCCGCGCGTGCTGTCACTTTGACGGACGCTCATTGCGTTATTAAAGGTGAACAAATTATCAAAATGCTTGAAAAATGTACAAAATACGATGACGGAGAAAATACGGCGATTCTATGTTGCAAAATGCTAGTACGCGCAAAAAACGCGCGCGCATGCGCGTGAGCGCGATTTTATTGTCAAATGCTCTATATGGCCTGAAACGTATGCAAAAAAATTTGGGATAATTTGAGCATTTAATTTTGAGCGCGCGTAAACGCGCGCACCTACGCGTACGCGCATTTTTAACGCGCATATATTGACCTCAAATTGAACGGGACTGATATTGACCTTGATCATGACAAATATGAAGGACAAATGGCTTTTCGTTATGAAGATATGATCATAAGTTGATTTTTAACAAAATGGCGTCTAGATGACGTCACGATAATTTTGAGTCTTTGAAAAGTCACGCAGTTCTAAGTTAGACTAAGATCTATCATCATGGCAAGTTTCATGATAATGGTTTTAGCCATTCTTGAGATATCCTGCGAACAAAATTGAGGATGAATAATAATAATTTTCTTCTATACCGTGTGTCTCAAAAAAACGTAACACTTTTGAAATGGTTGCCAAATTGAGCATATAAATTTTATGAAAAAATGTTGATATGTATGGAAAGCTAAAGACCAACCTTTCATATGATATGAAAAATTATAAAAAAATCATGCTTCGATGGACAGTGTTCACTTAAGTTAGAGGTATGAAAATGGGCCTGCGCAGGATTTTTTCCTTCCAATTTTGGACAGGTAAATTACTTGTAACTTACAAAATAGGTCGATATGAGATATTCATGATCGATGGATCAAAAGGATATTTTGAACCAAAGGATATTTTGAATACCTCGAATACCATTCCTTTTTCAGTGTTATTTATCAATCCCGAAACACCACCGCCCACCCCCCCCCCCACACACACACACACACACACACTTCCACCCACTCCCATCTCATTGTATCATTGATCTGGTAGATGTGAACGGGATT